GGAGGGCATCGCTCTTAGGTTGGATGCCATCGCCCTTAGATTGGAGGCCATCGCTATCAGGTTGGAGGCCATCGCGACTAGGTTGGGGGCCATCGCTACTAGGTTGGAGGCCATCATTAGTAGGTTGGAGGCCATCACCCTTAGGTTGGGAGGCCATCGCTATCAGGTTGGAGGCCATCGCGACTAGGTTGGAGGCCATCGCTAGTAGGTTGGAGGCCATCGCCATTAGATTGGAGGCCATCGCCCTTAGGTTGGAGGCTTTTGGACTTTATGTCTCTCCGCTACGGACTGCGGGAGCCGCTCGCTCGACTTTCGGATGTCGACGGTGGTCGGGACCGACGTTGAAGTGTCGTTCGGTTCGACTCATTAGCAGCTCGATCATCTCTGAAACGCTGCGAAACGTCTTCGTGGGCGTATGAAACAGCTGTTCTGCTGTTTTGCTGTGGGGAATATGAAGACCACAGCAAGGAACTCTTATTGGTGCCTAGGTCGTTGATTGGATCCAACCCCACGAAGGTGGCATGTTTGCTCAGAATTGTTGGAACAGGACTTCCGTATGTTATGTAAGAACCGGAGGAATAGAAACAGAATCAACCATCAGGAGCGGAAGATGTCAGGTTGACGTGGAACATCCGATACTTGTGCCCGACCGTCATTGTTTGCACTTGGCCGCGATCTTGATGGTGATGCAATGTAGAATTATGTAAAGCTATATATTTATACATTTAACTGAGTGTTTGGCTCTGCCTGGTTGAAGCAAGCAATAGGCTTGAGGTTATTGCTTCCTCCATCTCACAACAGGAGAGGCGAAGTAGGCGCTGGAGCTGACCGCGACATGTGCGACACGCGACGCATCGCGACACCAGTTGGAGCTGACCGTACGGCCGCGTACGGCGTGCAACTTCGCAGGACCATCGTCACAACCATCGCCCACGGGACCGACGATCCTTCCCAAAGCGGCGGCGGTCGACGGAAGGTGTTGGGGGGGCCGGATGGGAAGAGAGAGAGAGAGAGAGGCTTTCGGCGGAGTGGACTTGTAATTAGATCCTGAGTAGCCCCAAGTATATGAAAGGGCTGAGTTGGTGCTGTGGGTTTAGGAGTTCGTGATGGCAGCGCCACTTGACCTCCACTATTTTTCAATATTTTTTACAAGAGGTCCAAATTCCCAATCAACAAGAATCCAAATGAAGTCCATAACCTCAGTTGCCATAGTGCCAAACCTTGCTGGCCAACCGTGTGCAGGACATCGGCGTCGAACTCCCAGGCTGCGAGAAACCGCATTGTATCGGCCATGACTCGAGCGGTTGCGCTTGACATCACTTGACCTTAAGAGCGATGGCCTCCAACCTACTAGCGACGGCCTTCAACCCAAGAGCGATGGCCTCCGACCTGAGAGCGATGGCCTCCAATTTGCATTTTTTCTTTAAGGATTGGGCAGCCTACTTCTCACACGTCTTTTGAGACATGTGTTTTTGGAGATGTGTGTACGGTGTTCTCATCCAGCGACCCAAGAACACTAAACAAAACTTCCAGCCGGTTGACATCTTACGCAGTGTTGTCATTCACAACACAGCAATCAATTTTGCACATGCACTGAAAAAACGATTGCAAACAAGGCAGCATCCAATACTTCTATATCATAATATTGGTATATATTGGTTATTTGAGTTTCTTCAGTTCTCTCCAGTTCTCCAGTCTGTTTGCATTTCTTTGGAGGCCCTCTCGCCGTTCCCGGCGTCCCTCCCGTGCCTCGCGGCGCGAAAAACCGCGCCGCCGGGGCGCGGCGTCGGGGCGGTCGCGGTGCCTCCAGTTGCGGAGCGCCCCACGCAGCAGAAGGCCCGGCCCTGGGGCGGGTGGAGCCGTTTCTGCACGGGTCGTTCGATTGGCGAATGGATTCGAATAGCACATGATACAGAACGGTCTATTTCAGGGGTTCGATTGGTACGCACTTCTTGGTGTACTTGGCTTCATTCATTATGGTTTGTGAGGGAGAGCCACTGGTTTGAGTTGCGGTGGAGTTGGGACAGTGGGAAGTCTTTTGCCATCCCTGGTTCCTGAGCCCTAAAAACTTGCCCCATACAGTACCAAGCTGTGTCACCCTTTTTAAGGCCACATCCCCGATGCCTCGCTACCCCGTGCCAGTCGCAGAAGCCGAGAGCCGGCACCAAAGGTGCCTTGAGGAGTTGCAGTTCGGGTAGGTCATGCTGGGGAGACAGACGGATGGTATTATCCACCAGATTTTAGCAAGTGTCGGAGTTTGATCAATTGTTCAGTTATGTGGAACAGCAATGAAACATATATCATTTTGTTTGCCGGGTGAGTTCGGGTGCAGCTGGAGTCTCAGGTCATGGCTCCAAGTCCGGGAACCATTGGCGGAGGACCCTCAAATTGGTTCAGCGATACAAATGGGGTTCGTGTGAGTGTAGTCCTTGTTCCGCTACATTTCAGGGGCCAAGATGTTCACAGGCACTGCAAGTTGACGAATTCGCTTGTAGACTTGGGGGGAATGGCTTCAAAATGGCTTCAAGACTCGAAAAGACCTTTTTTGAGTCGCCTTGAATCGAAGCACCCAGGAGGTTGGCTGAAAAGATCTCCTTTGTATTCTTTTGGCAGAAACCGAGGCATCATGTGAAACACTGTGAAACTATCCCAGACACGACTAATGGGACTGCCATAGGACTGCCAATCAGTTGGGGTGGTGCCAGGGGGGTGAATTGATCGGCATATTATAAGGCAGTTCCATGGAGCGTTTGGGTATGATATCACCTGTTTGAAAGGTGCATGGATGCGCCACCACCGAGGTACACAAAGGCAGCAAGCCAACCTCTCCTCCACGTGCCTTGGCTGCAAAGACCCTTCGAAGGACGGAGAATAGATCAATCAGCCTGGTCTGACCGAAAGCGAAGCGACCACCATACCACAGAACAGGTTCTGCAACGGTCCTCCTTGTGATCAACATGGGATTTCGTGTCAATATCATCCATCCCTCCCTCCCTCGCTCCCTCCCGTTTGTCCATCCATCCATCCATCCATCCATCCATCCATCCATCCATCCAATTATCCATTCCAAACCAAAGCGTCAATGCTCCTCTTATGCTCAGCTCCAGGCTCAGACCGCTCGCCCCGGCGCCTCACGCCCTCCCCCCGGCCGCGGCGCCGCACGCCGTCGCCCCGGCGCGGTCGCACGCCGGAAGCGGCGCCCCGGCGGCGGTCGGAAGCGGCGAAGGAGCGGAAGTCGCCACAGGCCGAGCTCGGATCAAAGCTCGGATCTTGCAGACAGATCGACATTTGAATTCTGGACTCCAAAGACGTTTTCTTTGTGAAGAGAGAGATAGAGAGAGAGAGAGAGAGAGAGGAGCAGTTGTTTGCGTCCACTGGAGAATTTGTATGAGTGGCCGACGGTGCTTTTTTGGGCGGTTGTAGTGTAGCTTTTAATGGATCGGCTAGACAAATCAGACAACTGCATGTTTATCTTGACTAGCAGAAAGTGCAGCAGGAGGTGGGTACTCTCGGTTTCGAGCGATGCCAAAATGTCACCACCACAGCTCCCTGGACCCGAAGCACACTGTCCTCCAGGCTCCTTCGAAGCCCACGCCCGCCTCGCCTGCGCGGTCGCCCAAGCGCTCGCGCT